AGGACCAGAGGAGCACCAGAGGACGGTCGCAGCGGGTCCCAAGTAGAAAACCAGACGGGGGAGGGATCACCCGTCCACTTACAAATATAAAACACGTTGTTCAGCTTTAAATACCAAAACCCAGCCACGATAAACACCGGCACGGGTCACTAAATTAAAGTAGTGCTTCAGTCACAGCAGGAATGTTTTCAGCTCTTTCAAATTAAAAGTCACGAGGAGGCTGAATAAAGCGGTTAATGTCTCGTAATGAATCAAATTATCTTTAAAACAAACTCTTATTGTGGAGGGACGACGGCAGTGAACTGAGTTTTAGATTTAATTTATTCTGTCACATTAAAGGTCCAGTGTGTGACACTGAGGACGATCTGTTGGAATATTTATAGAGATTAATTAGTGTTTAATCACCTGATTATAGGAATGTGCACCCCCCCCCCATCATCAGGCTGCTGCCTCCGAATCTCACACACTGGTCCTTTAAAGAGCCCCCCCCCCCAGGGATCAATAAAGTATCTCTGATTCTGATTCTGAAATCAATAAAAGCAACAATTAGTCAATTCATCGTTTCATAAGAAATAATTCTGGTTTCTTTCTACGACTGTAAACTGTGTGTGTGTGTAGTGTGTGTGTAGTGTGTGTGTGTATGTGCAGTGTGCAGTGTGTGTGTGTGTGTGTGTATGTGTGTGTGTAGTGTGTGTTTGTAGTGTGTGTGTGTGTGTGTGTGTGTGTGTGTGTGTGTGTAGTGTGTGTTTGTAGTGTGTGTGTGTGTGTGTGTGTGTGTGTGTAGTGTGCGTGTGTAGTGTGTGTGAGTGGTGGAGTTGCAGTGTGTGTGTGTAGTGTGTGTGTGTAGTGTGTGTGTCTTTAGGACTCCTCCTGTTAGTGCTTCATGTGAATCTGGATTAGAAACAGATTTCATCCATTAATCCAGAAATTCTTCATCGAGTTCTCAAACCGCTTCCTGAGAACTCGTCTCCACACTTTCAAAATAAAAGTCTACATGGCAGTGAAGCAGGAATCTCTGTGGCATGGCGTCCCCCCGGGCCCGGCTCAGGCGTAGAAGATGAGTTCTGGGATCTGGCCCCCCTGCACCCCGGTGCCGTTGGTGCTGTCCGAGGAGCACTGGAACTGGAAGGTCACTTTCCCACACTGCACCTCTGTCATCCCCTCCTGGCCGAAGTAGCTGAGCTCGTTGCCGTCCAGAACCACGCTGGCGGTGTAGAAGGTGTCGGGCTCGATCTGGACCGGGTAGTCGAACCACACGGGGAACGTGCTGCTGGAACCGTCTGAGAAGTACTTGATGATCCTCTGGGCCATCGGCACGCCCTGGCGCTTCAGCTCGATCTTGGCGCTGTACTCTGCCGAGCCGCAGCTGGACCCGTACAGACCGAAGCCGGCGATGAAGACGCGTTTGTCCACGGCGAACTGGATGCTGTCGCAGCGGCCGCGGTACCGCCACTGGTTGCTCCGGTAGGCGCAGGACTGGAAGCGGTGGCAGCGCTGCGGCGCCAGGCCTTTCCGGGGTTTGGTGCAGAAGAGCAGGTCGGGCTTGTTGGCGGCGGTGTACCACAGGAAGATGTCGTTGGTCTCGTTGAGCGTGAGCACGCCGGACTGCGCCGCTCCGTTGGCGAAGTCCTCCAGCGCCATGGTGGGGACGCGGATCAGGTAGATGGCCTTCCCCAGCACCAGGCGCCGGTTCTCGATGGTCGGGTTCAGGTCTTGCCGCTGACACTCGGCCTCGGCCCAGTTCAGCGCCGCCTCGAACACGACCATCTCTTTGGCGTTGAGCGTCTCCCGCCGCAGGATGCTCTCCAGCGTCTGCGTGTCGATGTCGCAGAAGCCCTCGGAGCGCAGCGCGAGCTCGGCCTGAGCGTCGATCACCTCCCAGCAGCGCTGCGTCAGGTCCGGCTCCTCGAACAGGCAGCTCTGGGACAGCAGCACGCAGGCGTTCTTGGCGCTCAGGCTCGTCTCCAGGAAGTTGACGCAGGCCCGGGCCAGGTGAGGCACGATGTACTTTTTGGCGGCGTAGAGCGTGGCGAGCACCGTGTCGGCGCACAGGTCGATCTCATCGCAGTAGATGTACCTGAGGAGGACGAGGGCGGGACAGAGTCAGACACTAATGCACATTTCAGCTCTTTTAACGGCGCCGCTCGACTCACTTCAACATGGCGAGGAACGACGGAGGCTCCACGTCGGGGATCCGGATCTCCTCCTGGTCCTCGGCCAGTTCTCCATAAAACATGGCGTGGAACACGGAGCTGCCGACGGCGAGGACGTACTGAGGGAGGAACAACATGGACGCCATCAGAGACAACAGAGACAGACTGACGGCGGTGAACAACGAGGGGGGGGGGGGGTTACCTTGTGTCCCGGCACTCGCTGCGTCCCGCCAGGCGGCCCGACCACGAAGTGAACGTCTGCCATCATCTCATTGTTGAACATGACTGAATTCCTGTTGGGACACACAACTCGTTACCACCGGGTCTCACCGGGTCTCACCGGGTCTCACAGTGTCTCACCGGGTCTCACCGGGTCTCACCGGGTCTCACAGTGTCTCACCGTGTCTCACCGGGTCTCACAGTGTCTCACCGGGTCTCACCGGGTCTCACAGTGTCTCACCGGGTCTCACAGTGTCTCACAGTGTCTCACCGGGTCTCACCGGGTCTCACAGTGTCTCACCGGGTCTCACCGGGTCTCACCGGGTCTCACCGGGTCTCACAGTGTGTGAACGTCTCCAACATAAACACTGACACTCTGAGAACTTAATGTGAGTGCTGATGGGTCAGAGAGACCGTGTGTAGGACTGGACCAGGACCTGGTGGGTCTCTGGGTCCCTGTGTGTGTGTGTGTGTGTGTCTCTGTGTGTGTGTGTGTCTCTGTGTCTCTGTGTGTGTGTGTGTGTCTGTGTGTGTGTGTCTCTGTGTGTGTGTCTGTGGTTCTGGTTCTGGTTCTGACCCACCTCTCTCGGATGGTCGGGTACAGGCCCTGCCAGTTGCAGCCGCCCTGTGCGGAGGCGGCGGTGTTGTTGTTGGTGAGGTTCTGCTGGTACTGCTGGATGGACGCGGTGCTGCTCGCTGAGGAAGAGGAGGAAGAGGAGGAAGAGGAGGAGGGGAGCAGCTTCTTGGTGGGGAAGAGCTCTGCAGCCATTCTCTTCCGGTCAGACTGCAGGCCGGCTCATGGAGGTCCGGGGCCGGACTGAAGGGCTGCTCCCGCGGCTCATGGAGGTCCGGGACCGGAGGGCGACTGCGGAGGAGCTTCGGTGAGCTAACGTTAGCAGAGCTAGCACACAGTAAAGTACGGAAGCTGCGTTGGTTAACGCTGTTAGCATTAGATACATTAGCATGGAGCTAACAGTGAACGGTCCGCTGCTGGTTAGTTAGCTCACTGACTGAAAGGTCAGAGGTCACATATTGGGGGAGTCATTCCGTTTACACTTACTTTGTTGTTGTTGTTGTTGTTGTTGTTGTTGTTGTTGTTGTTGAGGTGTTTGTGATCCTCTCTTCTTCTTCTCAGGCGGGCAGCTTTGTTTACAGTAGCTAGCTAGCTTCTTCGGCTAATGTTTACGGCAGAGTCAGCTCACTGACGGCACAGCGGCGCCACCTGGAGGCCGGACGGTGGAACTACACCTTCACTCCATATATATAATATTATATCTCTATAACAACAATAATACATATAATATATCTATATAACAACAATAATACATATTATATCTATATAACAACAATAATACATATATTATATCTCTATAACAACAATAATACATATAATATATCTCTATAACAACAATAATACATATATTAATATCTCTATATAACAATAATACATATAATATCTATATAACAACAATAATACATATATTATATCTCTCTATAACAACAATAATACATATATTATATCTATATAACAATAATACATATAATATCTATATATAACAATAATACATATAATATATCTCTCTAACAACAATAATACATATATTATATCTCTATAACAACAATAATACATATAATATTATATCTATATAACAATAATAATACATATTATATCTCTATATAACAACAATAATACATATTATATCTCTATATAACAACAATAATACATATTATATCTATATAACAACAATAATACATATATTATATCTCTATAACAACAATAATACATATAATATATCTCTATAACAACAATAATACATATAATAATATATCTATATAACAATAATACATATAATATCTCTATAACAACAATAATACATATATTATATCTCTATAACAACAATAATACATATATTATATCTATATAACAATAATACATATAATATCTATATATAACAATAATACATATAATATATCTCTCTAACAACAATAATACATATATTATATATCTCTATAACAACAATAATACATATAATATAATATCTATATAACAACAATAATACATATAATATCTCTATATAACAACAATAATACATATTATATCTCTATATAACAACAATAATACATATAATATTATATCTATATAACAATAATACATATAATATATCTATATAACAACAATAATACATATATTATATCTCTATAACAACAATAATACATATAATATTATATCTATATAACAATAATACATATAATATATCTATATAACAACAATAATACATATAATATTATCTCTATATAACAATAATACATATAATATAATATCTATATAACAACAATAATACATATTATATCTCTATATAACAACAATAATACATATATTATATCTCTCTATAACAATAATAATACATATAATATATCTTTCTATAACAACAATAATACATATAATATCTCTCTAACAACAATAATACATATATTATTATATCTCTATATAACAATAATACATATATAATATCTATATAACAATAATACATATATTATATCTCTAACAACAATAATACATATAATATCTCTATAACAACAATAATACATATATTATTATATCTCTATATAACAATAATACATATAATATCTATATAACAATAATACATATATTATATCTCTATAACAATAATACATATAATATCTCTATAACAATAATACATATATTATATCTCTATAACTAATACATATATAATATCTATATAACAATAATACATATAATATCTATATAACAACAATAATACATATATCTCTCATAACAACAATAATACATATATTATTATATCTCTATATAACAATAATACATATATTATTATATCTCTATATAACAATAATACATATATTATTATATCTCTATAACAATAATACATATAATATCTCTATAACAACAATAATACATATATTATATCTCTCTATAACAACAATAATACATATAATATTATCTCTATATAACAATAATACATATATTATTATATCTCTATATAACAATAATACATATATTATTATATCTCTATAACAATAATACATATATAATATCTATATAACAATAATACATATAATATCTCTATAACAATAATACATACAGTGGGTACGGGAAGTATTCAGACCCCTTTAAATTTTTCACTCTTTGTTTCATTGCAGCCATTTGCTAAAATATTTTATTTCTCATTAATGTACACTCAGCACCCCATCTTGACATAAAAAAAACAGAAATGTAGAAATTTTTGCAAATTTATTAAAAAAGAAAAACTGAAATATCACATGGTCATAAGTATTCAGACCCTTTGCTCAGTATTGAGTAGAAGCACCCTTTTGAGCTACTACAGCCATGAGTCTTCTTGGGAATGATGCAACAAGTTTGGGGATCCTCTGCCATTCTTCCTTGCAGATCCTCTCCAGTTCTGTCAGGTTGGATGGTGAACGTTGGTGGACAGCCATTTTCAGATCTCTCCAGAGATGCTCAATTGGGTTTAGGTCAGGGCTCTGGCTGGGCCAGTCAAGAATGGTCACAGAGTTGTTCCAAAGCCACTCCTCTGTTATTTTAGCTGTGTGCTTAGGGTTATTGTCTTGTTGGAAGGTGAACCTTCGGCCCAGTCTGAGGTCCTGAGCACTCTGGAAGAGGTTTTCTTCCAGGATATCTCTGTACTTGGCCGCATTCATCTTTCCTTCAATTGCAACCAGTCGTCCTGTCCCTGCAGCTGAAAAACATCCCCATAGCCTGATGCTGCCACCACCATGTTTCACTGTTGGGATTGTATTGGGCAGGTGATGAGCAGTGCCTGGTTTTCTCCACACATACTGCTTAGAATTAACGCCAAAAAGTTCAATCTTGGTCTCATCAGACCAGAGAATCTTCTTTCTCATAGTCTGGGAGTCCTTCATGTGTTTTTTGGCAAACTCTATGCGGGCTTTCATATGTCTTGCACTGAGGAGAGGCTTCCGTCGGGCCACTCTGCCATAAAGCCCCGACTGGTGCAGGGCTGCAGTGATAGTTGACTTTGTGGAACTTTCTCCCATCTCCCTACTGCATCTCTGGAGCTCAGCCACAGTGATCTTTGGGTTCTTCTTTACCTCTCTCACCAAGGCTCTTCTCCCACGATTGCTCAGTTTGGCTGGACGGCCAGGTCTAGGAAGAGTTCTGGTCGTCCCAAACTTCTTCCATTTAAGGATTATGGAGGCCACTGTGCTCTTAGGAACCTTGAGTGCTGCAGAAAGTCTTTTGTAACCTTGGCCAGATCTGTGCCTTGCCACAATTCTATCTCTGAGCTCCTTGGGCAGTTCCTTTGACCTCATGATTCTCATTTGCTCTGACATACACTGTGAGCTGTAAGGTCTTATATAGACAGGTGTGTGCCTTTCCTAATCAAGTCCAATCAGTTTAATTAAACACAGCTAGACTCCAATGAAGGAGCAGGACCATCTCAAGGAGGATCAGAAGAAATGGACAGCATGTGAGTTAAATATGAGTGTCACAGCAAAGGGTCTGAATACTTATGACCATGTGATATTTCAGTTTTTCTTTTTTAATAAGTTTGCAAAAATTTCTACATTTCTGTTTTTTTCTGTCAAGATGGAGTGCTGAGTGTACATTAATGAGAAATAAAATGAACTTTTTTGATTTTAGCAAATGGCTGCAATGAAACAAAGAGTGAACATTTTAAAATTTTCCTTACCCCCTTTATATGTTTATAACAACAATAATACATAATATTATATCTATATAACAACAATAATACATATAATAATATAATATCTATCTATAATTGTAATATATAATAATATTATATCTACATATTACTATAATATATATAACAATAATACATATATTATATCTACATATAACTATAATATATATAACTATAATAATAATAATAATAATAATAATAATAATAATAACCAACCTTAATAAGTCAACAATTCATCATTCAAACTACTATTTATTTTTATTTTATTGACTAATTTTTTATTTTATTTTTTAAAGCAGCAGAAAGGGAATAATAAAACAATATTTAATCCTTTAATGTTTTAAACTACTGAAATTATTCAGAGTAAAAACAAAACCTTCTCATTTACAGAATTACATAATAATGATTCTTTTGGTATAAAAACCTTAAATTATGTAAAAACATCTAAATCTATTACACACCTTTATTGAAAATATAATCTGATTACAGCTGTTTTTCTGTTACTGTAATGGACTGCAGTTGTATCCTGATTACATGTAATCCATTACTCCCCAAGCCTGCACTTATTTAATATGATATATAATAATGTAATAATATTTGTTAACAGCCCAAATACATTTATTCTTTTTTTATTTAAAGTATGTTCTTTTTTTTAAAGTCAGCTCTAATCATTTATATGTTTTTTAAATAATTAGTTTAGGTCTTTTTAATTTGTGTACATATATACAAATAAACAATAAATAAATATATAATTTAGGCTTTTTCTCACTTTAGTTTTTCAAGTGTTTCACTGTAAAACTAGAAAAGTTAATTTAACTTAAAAAAAATGTCTAAACTTTTTCTTGAAACCAAATTTTTTTAATTAAAAAACATTCTTAAGCAGCTTTTGCTAATAATTTAACACTAAATGAGTTTTATATGTTACATTATTATAATTAATAACTTAACTGGGTATTTTGTTTTTACAGTAGAAATAAAAACAAAATTAAGTCACTTAAAATGACTAAAACTAATTGATCAAAGATATTTTTTAAGATACAATATTGAGTCAATTTCACTTAAAATCCAATAATTTTTTGAGTTCAATAACTTATTATCATTATATTAAATTATATATCAGGTCTTTTTTCCATTTATTGTTGTCTTATTGTCCAATAAAGATGAAACTGTTGCAGTGAGTAAAGCACCCGTATGAATAAACAAACACATCCTGATATACAACATATTCCTTTATTGTTGTTACTGATAAATCTGTCACTCTCCCATTTTGAAAAAAGAAAAAAAGGAACAACAATAAAGAAATAAAACAACACCTGTGTTTACTTCCTGTACAGCCAGATTAGCATCTATAATCTCTCTTTAATAGTTTCACTGTACACATTAAACAACAACAATAATTTACAGGCAGACCGGACCCGACGACAGTTTGGGTTCAGGTCTCAGTCTGAAGGTTCAAACTCTGCTTTTGGCCACTGAAGACGACAAAATATAATAATCTGAAAATATAGTTTGACTGACACAGTTCAGCTGCCTACATCACTACTGGCTAGTGTTACTGCGGATACGTGACCTCCAAACATTAGTCTATAATCTGCTTATAATCAAAGTGTAAAATGAGATTCAGTTATTGGCAGACACACTGATTCTATTGCTCTGAAATAAACTGATCTGGTGTTAATCAGCTTTATTGATGATTAACGGTTCTTTTCACATTGTTTAAAAATAATATGGAGGGAAAAAAGCAGTTTTATTTTATTTTCTTGACTTTCATTTCTCGTTTCTGGGATCAACCAGACTCCATTCAAAATTCATTTAAAGGTCCGATGTGACACCGAGGAGGAAACCGGTATTAATTAATGTCTAATCACCTGAAAATAAATATCGTTGTGTTTTTGTTACCTTAGAGGGAGCGGGTCCTCTTCTACGGTAGCCCATAAAGGACAAACCAAACACTGACTCTAGATAAGGACCTTTCAGGTTTTTTGGGGCCACCGTAGTTTCTCCTTCACAGCTGTATTAAAATTACCTTTCCTAATTCCCTCTCTGTCAACTTCCTCCTTTCCTGTACTGAGATAGGCTATGCTAGGCTAATCTATGTTAACACATTTAGGTTAAAAGATAATCAATAACTAATCTACATCAATTGTTGGTTGGCTAATTAGCTTGCATTTTGTTGACGCTATCAAATATAACTAGCTAGCTAACGATTGATGAAGAGCTAGCTGGTTAGCCAGTGTTTTAGCTAACTTAAGATGTGACTATATATCGCGTTCATCTTTTAAACATCTTCAACATATGGTTGTCTTTTCAACATAGATTAGCCTAGCACATAGCTAGCTGAACTGTTATTGGAGGCGGGGCTTAGTAAGGGTTGTAATCGTACACACGGGTCCTTTAATGAATCCTGGTTGAGTTCTTGTCGGATTCTTTGTGTGAAAATAAACCAAAATATAAGCAAAAAAATCAGCTTTATTTTATTTTCTGGACTTTCATTGAGGCTGCAACGACCACAACAAGCAACCGGACTGCATTCAAAACCTCCACAAACCTGTTTCTGTCACTTAAAGCAGCACTAACGTGTCCAACCTTTGTTTTGGTTTGCGTGAGCCTTTAAAGCGACTCGTGTCTACTCACAACGCGACCCTTTAATGGAGTCGCGACTGTAGATGGTTTTCCTGTTTTTGGCGTGTGATGAGTTCCTAAGATTAAACTCCTGGTCCAGTTTACAGCTGAATGTTACTGAGCTCAAGCACCAAAGCAACCAGACTCCATTCATTTTCTACATGATTTAACGGGAAAGCTGAATTCAAACTGCAGCCACTAACTTGCTGTGTGTTTACTGGTCACACAAATAATGTTCGAGCTTTCCGGCTCACCAACAAGCCGGTAAATGATTCGCTGACTTTCACTGCGCAGTTACAATTTCCCTTAATTACACCCAGTTTATAAATAGATCTGCTTTAATACTTAAAAACTGTACACATCTCTGTTCACCCCCTTTTTTTTTATACACAGTTTCAGTTTACGTTAGAAGAAAAAAAGCAAATCCAAAGTTTCCAACCATCCCAGGAACAAAGCTGCATGTTTGAGATGACAATTTGGTAAAAAGCAAAAACAAAGTGTTACGTAGTGCTGAGAGGTAAAGTCATGTACTCCTTACAACACCAGCAGAAACCCCAAAAGGAAAAACAAACTTCACTTTTCAAGTAAAACAGAAAATACGTCTTTAAAAAAAATATCTACTGTATCTTACAAGTCTGTCACCAAACACAAAGAGTCGTTTAAAAAACTAGTTAATCGCTCCAAATAATAATAATAATAATTACACAAAATACAGTATTTTCAGGCAGTCAGCGTATAAAGCGTTTACAAATCAGGAGGGGAGCTTGTGTGCAGTTTGGGAACTAAAGGCGTACTATGCAGGAAGTGAGGTGGAGCAGCTTTCACTCACACTTTAATGTTGAATTGTATTTTTGGTGGCTGCGTTTCAAAACGCACGTCAGTGGCGGCAAAGACGTACATATGTAGTGTTTAGGTCTCGCACACGGGCGTGTAGAAATGGTCCGACAGCCTCTCGGAGTTGAACCCAACAAGAAGTCGGCCATTTTTAACTTAATGTCTGTTTTTGGCGGCATTTCCAGAGCTTCTATTTTAACGAACTCCTCGTTGAGAATTAATTGGATCGACTTCCAATTCGGTGAATTCACACGAAAGAAGTTCACGATGAAAAGATATCAAAATCACGATGATTTGTCTGACACCGTGTCCGTCACGTGGCGTCGAAAATCTGCATTTCTCCATGAAAAAGTGAACCTTCGACAACTTCAGCGTAAATTCTCCAATCTGCCCGAAATGTTGACAGTGTGGTCCCCACCTGACGTGCTGGCACCAGTATTTAAAATGTAAGGAGCAGAAAGTACAGATATACAGACAGTAAAGTCTGGAAATATGTCACCTTCCTGCAGGGTTGTGCGGAGGTGTGACCGTGTTTATTTGTGCTTTAGATCGTAAACAACCGCCGTGAAACAATCAGAAAATAACGTTTAATTTCTCTCCTCATTCATTTTCTATGTAGCTCGACCAAAGCTGCTAACGGACACATCCTGCATAGAACGCCTGTGAAGTGTTATTTTACAACAAAATGAGCTAATTAGCATTAGCAACCACAGCTGTCGGGTTTAGTAGGAAGCATCTCGTCGTCTCGGTTGAATCTTTTGGCTTTAATTTGGCGTTTCTTTTTAAAAGTCGTAATAAATAATCAAAGTAAAACAAATAGATGAGCGTCGCTGCAGGTTTCCTCTCGCTGCAGTTCGTCCGGATCTTTCAACCATAAATACACAATAAAAAGCAGCAGGTCGTCACAAACTGCTGAGTCAGTCCATCTTACAGTGTGTGAGGAAAGACAAACAACCAGAAACTCAGAGCTGAAATATTTCAGATTCAGGAGAGATTTTACTTTTAGAGACGCTCTCCGTCCGAACTGTCACAGAGTCACATGACAGCAGGTGTGTTTACAGGTGGAGGCTGGGTGGAGTATATTACAGGTATCATAACAACAGGTCGCACTGGTGAAGGGTTTCATTTCAAAATTATACACAAGAAGGTAGCGTTCATCCTCTCTCAGAGCGGGGTGAAAACAGATAATGAGCTAAAGAACAGGGGTCTCAAACTGCCGGCACAGGGGCCATTTCTGGGCCCCTGTTCCCCTCCCTCCGGCCCCCCGTTCCCCTCCCTCCGGCTCCCCGTTCCTCTCCCTCCGGCCCTAAGACACAATGTCAAAAATATAATATAATCGGGCCGCTAGTTTATTATTTACATATATGTTTTATAGATTTCTGAATATGAAAATAAACCAAAATGCTTTCCTTTATCTAGGCTGCCATGAGCTAACATTAGCTATAATTAGCTATCTAAAGATAAATAGCTAGCCAGGTAGAGCCCCCCCCACTTTCACTCTCCAGCTGCCCCCCAATAAAGATGACTGTAGATTAGCATTAGTTAGCTTGTGTTGGAGAAAAACACCCCCCCCGCGGCGCTCTATGTTAATCAGAGAAATGTGTTTCTCATTTTGAAATGAAACTTTTCGGATGTTTGTGATTCGACCTGCTGACTCAGCACAAAGGCACTGACTCCAGACCCGCTCAGGGCCACGACCTTTGACCTCTTACTTCCTGCGTGGGCGTTAACAGGATGACGCTCTGTCCTAGTGACCGGCCGCTCTCCACATTCAGACTGATTCTTCAGGCTGAGTCGTAACTTAGTGTTGTTGTTGTTTAGAACAGGAAATAATAAACTCACAACCAAATGAAGCCGGGTCGGAGGATTCAGTGTCTTACTGACTGAATCTGTTTTTACCAACCGGGTTGTTATTCGGCGGGTTTTACCGCTCCCACGCCGTCTGATCAAAAGAATTTATGTAGTGAAGAAAAAAGGCACATCATCATGAACAATATCTTAAAGCGTCGGGCTTTTAGTGACGAGTTAGAGAAAGAAGATTCCAGCTTTAGTTAAATGTACCGAGAGTTCCTGTGTGTTTATTTTTTGCCACTTCCTGTTTCATTCATCGTCTCATCCAGAGGTTGGTTTGTTTCGGGACCCGGGCCAGCCTAAGTCCGAAGGAGGGTGGGTGGGGACGAATATTTGACAAATCTTAAAAGGAGCAGTTCGCGTCCGTCGCCTTCAGTTTCCCGCTTCCTCACCCGAACTCAGCTCCGCCCTCCTCCCTCTCAGCGCCTCCTCTCCACTCTGAGCCCGACACTCGGCCGCAGACCGCTTCAGGTCATACGAAGACCTTGGCGAGCGCGTCGGCCCCGGCGCTGCCGATGTAGCACTTGGTGGGGTGGAACGCCACGTCGTGGATCGACTCCTCGGACTTCTTGCGGTGAGCGGTGAACTCCTGGATGCACGTCTTGCTCTCCATGTTCCACAGACGGATGGAGCAGTCGTGACCTGGCGAGAGCAGGAAACGTGTCATCAGGATGAGTCCAGACGTGTTTCTACATCATTTATTCTTTAAATTTCAATACTCACTTCCAGACATGAGGTACAGTCCGTTTGGATCCACAGCGAGACTCGTGACGGAGTCCAAGTGGGCGACCATCGAGTGGATCAGCTTACCTTCGATTCAAAACAGAACAAGATAAATGACTCTTCAGTTTTATTAGTAATTAATAATGTTAATAATAACAGGTTTTACAGAAATCTCCAAATGTCAAAAGATATTGCTTTATGGTGTTCCTCGAGGTCTCAGTGTCTTAATGTGGTATTTTGGAGGGATACTTATCAATACTAGAGCCGTTAGAAATGCTTACATTTTGCACCAAATCTGTGTAACAAAAGATATCAACCCAAAAATACGTCCGTCATAAACAAAACAAAATTGAATCATTAGGCCGAGATCCAGACTTTTAGTCCCTGGTAGTGGTCGACAATAACCACAACGCATCTTAGACCTCCACCTACAGTTTGTAACTCAGGTTTTAGTCTCCCAAAGCCCGAGCTGAACCCAGCGGCTGTGTGTTACCTGTGTTATTATCAAAGAACTGGATGTGTCGGTCCTCCTGAGCTGTGATGGTGATTGGCAGCGTGGGATGACTCAGCACTTTGTTGATCTTGCAGGGAGCCTCTGTGAGGAGACGTGAAAAGGACCACATTAGCATTTAATACCAACAATCGTCAGACCATCAGGACTCAAAGCACGGCGAGAGAGATGCGTCCTCTCACAGCGGCCCAGGAGACATAAAGCGTCTCTTTTACACAGACGGACACACTATAAGAGACGTAACCTCCTCCAGACTATAACAATATCAGCAGGAACCAATGAGCTCACACTGTTGTTGGTTTGAGTCTTTTTTTAACAGAAATACAGAATAATGTCTTTAATGTTTACAACAGAACAGTGATACTGAACTAAATACAGAATGAGACCAGTGATTGGTCGTTCGGTTTACCTGGCGGTCCGGCCGACTCCAGCTTCAGGACGAGCTGCTGCGTCTCCATGTTGAAGAGTCCGATGTGGCCAGTGTTGAAGGATGTGACCATGTGAGCCGGCTCGCTGCTGACCAGGTCCACAGAGGTCGGCACACCGAGGTCTGACACAAACACAGACAGCAGAGGTTCACCGTGTTCCTGCAGCCAATCAGAACGACTGCGCCACGATACAACAGGTAAATCAACGCTTTATAGGAAGAAACTGTACGTAGACGACGACAAAGCTCTATTCAAATGCAAGGAATTATTATTTTTCTGCCAAAATAATTGTATTTTTGGCCACAACTCTTCCACAAATTATGTGAAATAAAAATCATCTTGCGGGACATGAGCATCGTTAGCATCTTAGCATGATAAAATAGCACTTAACCCTGAACCTTAGGAAATCTTACTGGGAGTTAAGATTTATCTTCTAGCTACTGAGACTCACGACTCACCTCCTCTCTCGTTGAAAACAGCGAGAGATGGTGAGGTGTCGGCGGCGTTCCACAGCCGGACCGTTCCATCAGCTGAGCAGGAGAGGAGGCGACGGTGGGCCGAGCTGTAGACCAGTCCCCACACTGAGTCTGTGTGACCACACAGCGCCCCCCGCAGGACAGTGGGCTCTACCAGAACCATGACAGACAGAGGTGTAAAAACTATATATTCTGCAACGGCTTTCACGCCACTACATTATCACTGGGACGTACCATATGAGTCGTAGGGGTCGATGTTGGGGTTGGGGGTGTTCCAGCTCTGAATAGTACCGTCCACCCCCCCACTGAAGCACTGCTCCCCACTGGAGCTCATGGTGACGCATAGCACAGCTCCGCTACATGAACACAAAGAGTTTAAGATAAAGCTCATGTAACTTTATAGAAAGTAATAAACCCAAATATGTCCCTTGACATTTTATCTCGTTATAGGAATGACATTAATAATACAGATCAATCATTTCATAATTATGTCTCATTTATTTTTTAATGGCATTAATGATTCTATATGTAACTTTAATTAAACTGTAGTTAATAGTGCCACCAGAGGCTGTTCAGTGAACTACTGAGAACGTCTTTAAACAGTAAACTGGATCTGACCTGTGAGCTCTGAATGTGTAGATCGGCTCGACGTCTAAAGCAGCACATCTGGAGGATTAAAGAACAGAGATCGTATCAGAAAACAGTAATAAAGTCCCGTCTCTAACAGATTTATGCAGCTGAGCTGAGTTTAAATTTAGACTCTCACTTCTTGGCGGGCGCCGTCTTCTGGAGGTTCCACAGTTTGAGGGTGTGATCCTCGGAGGCGGTGACCAGGACGGGCTCCACCGGGTGGAAGGCCAGACTCCGGACCGAGTCGAAGTGGCTCCGTAGGGTGAACTTTGGGTTCCAGGTCTTCCTCAGAGCGTCTTTGTTATTAGTGATCTGAGGGAGGGAGTGATGGTACTTTACTTTTATTTGTCACCTTTGAGGCAGAATAACACAGTGAAAGGGAAATCAGAAAAACAACAAACTATGAGGCTGTCGACAGACTTTAAAGAGACGCTACCATCTACTAAATTAAATGTTATCAAGAAAAAGCTGCATCAAAAGCACAAAATGGATATCATAAAAGAAAAAGGGAAAATAAATTGAAAAGGCTGAAAAAAGACTAAAATTAAAAACACTGAATTGAAAAACTGAATCTAAGATAATTTTTTTACTTGTTGACGGGTTTAATTCCAGTTGCTTGAACTTTCACTTTGAGTTTGTCTCTCTGAGCTTCAGTATCAATGATCAAGACTTCAGTTTTGTCCTGATTGAGCTGTAGAAAGTTCTCTTCCATCAATCACTTGATGAAATACAGTTAAAAAGGACATTTATTGTCCCTGAGTCATCAGGAGATGCAGCAATGTAAAGCTGTGTGTCATCAGCATAGAGACTGATGCCGTACCTCCTGATGACGTTTCCAAGTGGCAGCATGTAAAAGTTAAAAAGGTACATTACAGATACAGGTACATTTAACACTACAGTCGGCAGCAGGTTAGCTTAGCTTAGCATAAAGACTAGAAACAGGAGGAAACAGAGGGAAACAGCTAGCCTGGCTCTGTCCAAAGGTAACAAAACCCACCCACCAGCAGCAAAAGTATAAACATTTTTGTCTCTGCTGGTTGCCTGGCAACCTTACAAGGGCGACAAAACTCAAGAAAGTCTCCTTAAACTCTTGGCAAGAAAACATGAAGTTTTTCTTCAAACAGAAAAAAATGGAATAGCTATGTTTTGAGTTGTATGTGAAGGCGGAGGCCTCAAACAGTCCCGCTGGAGAAGAGTTTTCGGTGTTTCAAGTTTGGTTTTTACTCACGTCGTACGCCAGGCTGTCGGCCTCATTGGCAACTGTCAGTCCGGCCAGTTCTCCCAGTCCGAGCTCGTTAGAAACTGCCTCGTCCACTCTGCCCAGGATGAAAGACTTCCCAGAAGACGGCAGGAACGTCATCGCCTCTACAGAGACAAAAACAGGCAGCTGGTTTCAGAAAAATCCACCTGTGGATCCATGTTTAGTGAACGAGTGACTAGTGAACTGAAGAGGAGGGCAGGTTACCGTCTTCAGGGCGCCCCACTTCATGTTCATTGAGTCTGGGTACACTGGGGCGGGAGGGGGGCGTCACGGGAGGCTGCATGGAGGGAAGCTCCTCAGCATCACGTAGGTTAGCAAGCATGTCCTGGAGCTTAGACCGGTTTGGTCCTGAGGAGGAGGAGGAGGAGGAGGAGGAGGAGGAGGAGGAGACGGGAATTAGAGGTGGAAACAGAAACATGGGGTCCAGAGAAGGCAGGAGGGAAAGGGACAATGTAAAAGGAAAGGAGTTTAGGAGAGAGAGATGGAAAACAGACATTAGCAAGACAAAAGAAGTCTCCATTGAAGAGGTCATATTGTGAGAAAAGAGAATTAAATCAGCGTGAAGGATGCAGCAGCAGCAGCTCTGCAGAGGCCGAACAGAAAAGGTTAAGGAAAAATAAAACCAGAGAAACAATAAGTACGAATAAATCTCTGCATGAGAGGAAGCTGGAATGAAACAGATGAAATGTGGCAGCTTCTGTTTATCATCAACACAAAGACATGAAGAAACAAACAGGAATATAAAGCATGCACTGATATTACTTTGACTCATCTGTGTCATAATGGCTGCAGGAGAATCCATTTAAAGCTAGAATCTCTAACATCTCATTAAACTGTGTATAAACTCTAGAGCTATGTTCTATATGTAGTTGGTTCTATCAATAATCTATAATCAATGGCGTCATATCCCCTTTGTGCCTGCGTCAGCGTTGTGGGTGTCTGCCAGAAGCTGTCATACATTGACTGTTGATCCATTTTTATCTTGGTGCTGCTTCACCACCTCATCACACGTCCTCTTCTGTTATTGTTTTAATGAGAGAAACCCCCCGTAGTGGCAGAAATGTCATCCTGTACGTTTAAAGTAAAGCTAATTGCTGCTGTTTTTACGCAGGTAGGGTGGAGGATTAGATTTGATATTACCAACACAGAAAGAAAGTTTAAAGTCAGTGCAGAGATTCAGGAAATATAGATTAAGGTCAAACATTAAAAAAACAGAGAATGAAACAGAACAGATGAGTAACCAAAGGATTTATGAAAGGAGACAAAACAAACAGAGGAGGGGAGAGTGGCGTTCAGTCCTGATCACCTTTAACTCTCTGACAGACAGACAGGAAGAGACAGCAGAGGGAGACAGCTCAACAGACAGGTCGATGGTATATAGAAACTGAGGCCCTGCAACCTCTTAACACCCAGACGAGACGAGACGAGCTGAAACTTGCAACTGCTGTGCAACGTGTCTGAAACCCGTTCACACCACTACGACTATAGGAGAGGATGTATCTGTTTTAAAATATGAGTGAGGATAGTGATAGATGAGAGCTTTGGTCGTTATGCACCGCCCACTTTTGGGTGAAAGCAGTTCCTCTTCGTCAATTTAATACCATAAAATAAGAAAACTGTTCAAAGCTATTTGGAACCTAAATTCTACAGCCAGTCAGGTAAACAGTTACTGATGAGTGTCCTGACAGATACAGCAACCTTATTGAATCTCATATTTCTGCCGTCTGACCAATGTGACGTTACTGTAAACTGTTTGTGTTTATTAATCTACCTTTTACTACCACAGAAGAAGAAAACAGGAGGGTTTATCTCCACTTCCTGTTACTTTCTGCTGTTTACAAGGTTCATTATTAGAAGGTAGGTCAGGTCAGTTTATGGGAATTATTAAGGTTCAAATCCCCTCTGCTACTGTCAAACCAAACTCCATTCAAAAAACGGCTGTTTTAAGGAAGTAAAACCTTTATTTCCACCATCAGTGAGACTCTGATTCTCTTCAGTCTACAGACACAATCTGCTCACATTGACTCAGTAACATCATTAACTAACCTGTGAGGAAGAGTTGGACACAGACACACTCACTGACTGTCTGTCATTAACTAACCTGTGAGGAAGAGTTGGACACACACACACCCACTCCGTCATTAACTAACCTGTGAGGAAGAGTTGGACACAGACACACTCACTGACTGTCTGTCATTAACTAACCTGTGAGGAAGAGTTGGACACACACACACTCACTGACTGTCTGTCATTAACTAACCTGTGAGGAAGAGTTGGACACAGAGGGACGGACAGATGGACAGTTTATTTCATTGTCTGATGAGTAGCTTTTAGGAACGGCGCCAGTAGGAACTCTTTTCACCCAAAAGGGGGCGTCGTCAGTCTGAAGAAGGTCATTGACGTACGCCTGCTCTCATTCATGGTGAGTCCTTCCAGGAAGTTAGTGAGTAGTTTTGACTTACTTTAAAATATTAGCAATAATGTGGCTAAATGTGAGCTAACTGGCTTTCTAGGTGAACTTATTTGTCAGTTAAGCCCTTACAGACTGAGAGGAGAGGAAACAAAAACAGAGAGAGTCAAAGGAGCGAGAATAAAGTGAGGAGAGAGGATTAACTAGAGGCCTGGTACAGGACTTACTCTTCACCCCCTTCTTGCCCTTGCGCTCCTTCCTGTACTGCTCCTTGAGCTGGGCTATCAGTCCCTGGTCCACGTCCCAGGCCAGTTCCCCCAGAGGAGACTGCTCTTCCTTCTCTACAGGCCGGCAGGAGGTGGAGGAGGAGGAGGAGGGGAGGAAGGAGGGGAGGAAGGTGGGGTAGAAACCTGTTATATGTGTCTGGATGCACTACAGTACATATCCACCAACTGTACTTTGACAAACCTACGGAGGCAGACGGGATGAGGATGAAGGATATTTACAGGGAAATGTCTACAAGCTTTTGTTGTCTTGGCCACAGTTTCAGTTTCAGTTTGTGCTGCAGAGACTCAACTTAGAGTATAATCACCTGGAAATAAGAATCATTGTGTGTTTGTTATCTTAGAACGTTTTTATCTACGGAGGGATGTTAAGAAATATTGAGAGACTTTTCAATTGTGATACAAATACAAAGAGTCAAATCAGTGAGACAGCAGAGGGCGCTCTCTACTTTTGATTTTGCTTGTTTAACGTCCTACATCGCTCACGTCGGTAGCTGTTTGAAGGCACGACGGCTGCCGGAGTCAGTGGCAGTTAGCCTAGCTTAGCATAAAGACTGGAAGCAAAGGGGAAACTCTGTTCAACTCGAGTCCAAAGTGAGCTGGGTTAGCTGTTTTCCCCCCACTTCCAGTCTTTATGCTAAGCTATGCTAACTGCATCAGGACACCAGGGAAGAAAATGTTTATCCTCACCTTAATTTTCACGTAATCTTTATTCTGAAACTAAACCGAGGCCAAAACTACAAAAAGAATTTAGTTCCCTGCAACTTTCAGCCTTTCTAAACAACAAACATACAGTCGCTGTATTATTGTCTCCTGCTCATGAGCAGCATGTAATGAGTGACGTGAGACAGTTAATGAACACGTGTTCTTTATGAATCACTTGTGACTCTGCTGAGGCTCCACACATCAACAACAAAGAGGAACATCAACAGCTTCAAACTCTGTTCATACGTCAGACAAACAAACGTGAAACACAAAGAAAGGAAGATGAAATTCTCTGTGACTTTACTGGTGAAACACAAACACGATGAAAACAGCTGGAATCCAGATAAACTCTGATGGTTCGTCTGGAAGTGAAATGTTAACGCAGGAGAGCAACGCTTTCTCATGAAGAAGCCACGAAAGCACACAACAATTCACAAAACTGAAGGTTTGGAAGGTCTCTGCAGCGACAGCAGAGCCGGAAGATCCACCGAGGATCCACAAATCAATTCCTTCACTCAAGTTAAAGCTTAGAAATAAGAGATTTAAATCATTAATATATCAGCTAACAGCTATTCTCTATATACAGACACAGAGTCACATGGTGTCTCTGTATCGCAACCTGCAAAAGTAAACGGGTTCCCATCAGCCTCAGCTGTACTTTGTGTTTACTGCTAATTAGCAAATGTTAACACGCTAAACTAAGACAGTGAACATTTAACTCAAAGCACCACTGAGTCTTAAGTACAGCCTCACAGAGCATTTTAAAAGTTGTTTGCTCATTGTCTTGCAGACAAAGTATGAATTTTACAAAAATCTCCATCATGATGTCGTTATTTCAGCATCATTTTGATCTGATTATTGATTATTATTTATTAAATCACAGCAAATCTGTTTAACTTAGACTCATACCACCGTAGTAATCCAGACTTTAGGGTGAATATTCACCCTGTGAGTAACACAAGTGAATACAAACGATCCTGTGAGTATTAGCGTTGTGTTTCTTTCTTTAATCTTTCTCTATGTTGTCCAACTGAATCTCAGCTGCAGTATGTAATATCCACTGGAGGGAAGAGACACAGAGATGTTTCGTTCTTTATTGTTTTTGTTAAGACGTGTGTCTCAACAGCAGCCGGCCCTGCAGCAGTTACCACTCACTGCCTGCAGCTGGCACTGTTGTTAAACCTGCTGCAGCTGTTTCTCTCTAATAAAAACTGCAGATACAGATGTTGCTGCTTCAGAAAGGCAGACAGACAAAATGCCTTCAGCTCCTCCTGACAGCTGAAACGGTGATAAAAATAACCTGCAGATGGTCAGCGGGTTCAAACACCAGACACGTGCAGAAATCAGTGAGGGGGAGTCGGCAGGACTGACCGCCGCCGCGAAGACTGCGAGCTGAGGCTAAGAAAGGATCTCATCCCGTTAGCCTCCGCGGCGAGTGACGTGTTGGGTCGTGGAGGAGGTGGCGTGGGTTCAGGAAGAAAAGACTTCAGTCAGAAATGACAAATCTGTTTCATAACGCAGCCGAACACAGACACTGTTTGTTGTGTTCAGCTGCTGTTATTTTCTGTCTGTGAAAGGAAACTACTGATTGTTTCACAGCTCCAAATAAAACCAAATATACAAAGAAACACTGATTTATTTTTCCTCCTTCAATACTGAGTGTGTGGTTCTGCGTTCAGTCAGCACTCCTTTACAACTCTCTGGACTGTGAAGTGTTGAGTCACAATATGCGTGGGGATGCTTTTTGTCATTGGCCGAATGACACTGAATGTGTTGCTAAGCAACAGTAGAAAAAAGGGGTATTTTGTGTAAACTGCGGGGGCAGACAGGTCACCAGCTGGGAACTTTATTTTGTTAAGAGAGTTTTTTTATTTTTACAGAGGAAATGTGTCAGTGCAGGAGCAGCTGTTTGCTGCCATTCAAAACCTCGTTGGGTTTTAGTTTAGTTTATTAATTATATACTGTATATATATATATATATATATATATATATATCAGTTGGATGTACTGCACAGATATTTATACGTCTATAAAGATTTCATGTTTTTGCCATCAACTATCAGCTGTAAACAGTTAACATTACACTATTGAGTAATTTCTGGAAAAGAAGACATAAGTCTGTATTTAGTACAAAAAAATAGTTCAATTCAAATGATCATGTTGCCCATGTTAACTAGTTAACTGTCCTCTGCACTTACAGGTTATCAATCACTTGCCAGTAGATGTCACACTAGACTAGAGAACCAGCATCTTAGACCAAAACAATGGGCGCTACAGCCGACCAGACTCCATTAAGAAAACTGTACAAATAACTCACCACGACGTCGTTGTTAGTCGGTTTTTAATCGATTATTCCTCCAATGCTGCTTAAAACACGGTAAATCCGATACCACGTTATTTATTAGCCCCATTGCCACCTTTTTCCCAAGATAACCACAAACCACAGAGAGGCTGCGATACAACACAGGCAGAGTGAGTGAGACACCATGTGACTGTATATAGAGAATATAATGTTAGCTGATATATTAATGATTTCAATCTCTTATATAACCTTCAATCTCCAACCAATCGCTGAAACCTGCAGACTCACATTCTTCTGAAACCCCCCTCATCTGAGAGTGTCCCCCCTTGTCTCACCCCACTCTCCGCTGTCCTCCCCACTCCTGGACTCGGGGGATCCATCCAGCTCATCTGGACTCGCCAAGAAATCAAAACCCTTCAGCGCCTCCTCCGTGTCGGGGTCGTCGCTGAGGTCGGAGGTTGTGGAAGAAGGGGTGGACGACTGTTTCTTCCTCACCATCTGTTAAAAGGTAGAGACAAGAGGAAGACTGAGGAAGACTCTGGAGTTCAGACAGAAGACATGAAGCCACCGCAGCGTAATTTCCTTCATATGTTTCTGATTTTATTCGTTCTCAATATCCTGTTGAGTCGTGAGACAGAATGTACAAATCCAGAGTGTTAAAGCCAAATAATCGGCCCCATTAATCCGTCTATCACGAACGTACACACACGAAAATTGGTTGGCACATGTTTTATGTCCAGATGTACAAAGAAGCCTCCCGGAGCCATACCCGAAACCCAACAGGAAGTTGGCCATTTTGAATTCAATGTGCAAATCTGGTGCTAATTTTGCCATTTGCAGCCATTGTAGTTTAACAGACTCCTTCTAAAGAATTCATTAATTCATTGGTCAGTTCAATCTAAAGACCTTCACAATGAAGAGTTATCAGAATCGCATGGTTTCGTCTAACGGTGCGTCCGTGGCGTGGCGTCAAAAATCGTGAGAAATGACATATTGTACGTTTAATGTCTTACTGCAGCGAGGTCTAAGATGGTCTTGTCCCGCCCTTCGCTGTCCTCCTCCTCGTCCTCGTCGCTGAATTCTGCTGCAGCGCTCTCGATGAACTTGAAGGCCTCCAACACGGTGGCCGAGTCAGACATGTCGGGTTTGCTGGAAGGAGACAGTAAAGAGTTTGTGTTGAACATCAGACAGATACAGCCTGCACACTGAACAGTGCTCCTGTTTACAACCTACTGGTGTTCATGGGAGCGCCCTGCTGCTTCGGCTACAGCTAACAGGGGTCTTAATGTTATGCTTTTTGGGGTTAAGTGGCTATACAGATCTTTTTTGTGAATGTAAAAGGTCTGAAAAGCTCCTGCACTGCCTCATACGGCTCGTCGCCAGCGGACCAACCGGGGAACAGAGATGCTGCAGCAGCGACCAGTGGGAGAAAAATAATGTGTCTTTTAAACAATGCATGTAAACAGAATAGATAATATATAATATGGCCTCTTCGAATGATCGAATGTGTAGATATTTCTGTGTAACAGTTGAATGTGTGTGCTTTTGTAAACCTTTTGCATAATTTAAAGTTGAGTGTTTGAAAGCTTGAAATCAAATAAAAAGAGTTTTTCTAGATTGAAACTAAGTTTAGAAGGATTGCATAATGTTTTGATAGGTTCGCACAGTGGTTCCTAACCTAGAATGCTTTTCTATCATTGAGTAAAAGTGACCTATATGACAGATATTTGTACAATGAACCCAGTGAACCTGATGATAACTAGGTGTTGGTCCGTATTACCTGGTAATGGATATCATAAAGAGTAATGATCGATCGGAGCAACTGGAGCTCGTCGCTGTCAAACATTCAAAATGACATTTGCATGTCTATAAGCCGTCTGTGTGTATGATTGTATTTCAGAGTGAACAAATTAAATCTTCGTCTTCTTATAAGTTTTTTTTTTAAAGGGGGGATTTTTATATTTTTTAAAATTTAATTATTTATAACAGTTTTAAGTGTTTCTCACAAAAACCCAAACTAAAAAAAAAAAATAAAAGTTAAGGTTTTTTTTTTTTTATTTTGGTGTTTGTTTTTTTTGTTTTTTTAATCTCGTAATCCTGTGACCTACCAGCACCACACAGCACACTCACAATGTGGACAGAGCCAGGAGCTCCACTCTGGATCCTGGTCTACCGGATCCTGCTTTCATTTATTGCCTTGATAGAACTTGGGACAGAGACTTTCTTGTATTATATTTAATATATTATTTCTATCAGGTAACCCTCCTCTGATGACCAGTGTTTTTGTGCTGACACCTGGAGCTTTATGTCTGAGGTTACGGAGCCGTTACTCATCATCCTCGGACTATCTGACACATTCAGAAGGCTAAACACAGCACAGCAGCGTTTTCTGTCTTACTGACTTATAACAGCAAGGACATTAATTTTCATGGTGTTGAAACCGTTGCTGCTTCTAAGACGTGGCCAGAGGACCTGACTGAGACGCTTTATCTGGAGAGGATACGATAGAAAGACTCGTACAGTTTAACAGGACCTGGAAACCCCTCAAAGCAAATCCTGTAAAAGTAAATCCTGTGTCGAGATGAGTGACCAGTGAATGTCACTGCATGGGGAGGCAGGTGGGAGTAGGTACGAGGTTGGTAGAGAGGAGGATTGCTATCATCACTAATTTATTTATTCATCTTTATGAATTTGTTTCTTATTTCTAACCTTGTTACCTTTTTTTTTGTATTTGAACAGTTCAGTTTCATTCAATCTGTGATTTTATTTTGAAATTCCTTGGTTTCCTAATAACCTCAATGCCACATGCACAACTGTACGAGCTCTGAATGCAGTAATGCTCAATAAAAAGATGTTTGTTAAAGATATTTCTGTGAGCTGTCTGTAATTCATTCATTAAGTTCACAATCACTGAGTTCATCATACAACTACACAGTGAAACTGAATAAACAAGGCACAGATCTGCTGGTGGTGAATCTCTAAAAGTTAATACAACATTTTGTAAAGTTTTAAATGTTTTTCTTTCTAAATGTAAAACATATTATTGTATAATTCATTATTAATACCTCTGAAAGGCATTCGGCTGGGTCATTTTATTTCGGAGTCATTTCCAAAACGGGTCACGCTGCTGAGTTTCCATAACAGCAATCCTTTAGAATCAAATGTAGCATGAGGATGAAGATCTTTGATATCTGAGTGGGACTTATTATAGCCCGCAAATGTTCTGGACCTTTTAAGGCAAGGTGTGACACCGCTTGAACTTCATGTAAAAGGGCTTTACATTCAGTTTAATTGGCGGAAACATGAGATGTGCCAAAACTCCTGCAACCATATACCAGCGTCACTTGCATGCTTCTCCAAATTTAAGTTCCATTCCTGGCTGCGAGGGTGATTGAATGCGAGGGCGAGTGGAGACAAACATCTCGCTGTAAAATCATTTCAAGGACTTCAAGGAAGTCAGAGAGGGAATTAATTATTTGTTGGAGCAAATTAGTTGATCAAACACTCACGTATGTGTTGCATCGCGTCTATTCTGGGACACTGCCATCACACTTTTATAAGGAATAGAGCAGATATTACTAATATTACACGACACACTCTATAAAATATATAAGTGGAGTGTGAGGGATTTGTTAAGTGGTATTTTATTGATGGTGATACTGATGATATTCTTGATATTTACTGCATGTCAGGGCGAGATCTGAAATGTGGAGAAGCCCTGACACTGGATACCAGTGACATTTGAGTTCATCTTGCTAAGGACATTAGGGAAGTCGAGGAACACGCCATGAATAGATGCATTTAGAAATGGCAATGGCAATTTGATTTATAAGATTAGATGAACGATTAGATAAACTAATAAAGATAAAGTCATCTCCCACTGGACATTCACTCACTGCAGCAGCTCCAGATACACAACAAGGAAACACACATTAAATATGAATATATAAGAAAAATATAAGACATAATGAAAATGGGAAAAACAGAGAGTTATATGTAAAGCTTTTTATACACAGATGTGATTGATGTTGATTTATGTGGCAGATTTATTTGAACTCAATGTGGTTTATACCGTCTGAAAATATGGAAATATAGGTGTAAATGTGAGAAAACAGGAAACAGAAGCGACTTAAAAATAAGAATGTAAGCATAAGTAAAATGCATGTATATCATACAGAGTGTATAACATACAAAATAAGTATATTTGCTTCCTTTTTATTTGTATTTTTACTCAAATCTACAAAAATTCTGATCCTGCTCAATTAATTTAACATTTCCAGTTCCAGAGTTTTATTCCTCCGTTCATAGTCGAGCGATGTGATGTCATTAAATACAATGTTACAAGACGGGTGTCTCGATGTCGGGGATGCTTGACCTAATCGAGAGGCTGCTGCTGCTGAGCGAGCAACTTCTAGTCTCTATAAAAGCAGGAGCCTCAGACTCCTCTGACAACTGACAACATCATCCCAGGTTAGTGCTCTCTCTCATTTCAAAATGCCTTTAACTCTGTTTCTGTGTGCACTTTGTAATGACTCTTAATGGTTCATTTAGTTGATATTATGTTATTGATATTTCACATTATATTCAAAACTAACAATAAGAACAGAGAACGGCTGATAAACTGCACAATGAACTCAAACAGTGAACTCAATAACTGTCTGTATTATCTATTTGTATAACTTTTAACAATCAAACAGACTGAACAGACAAATAGTATCGGGGGATATAATGGGAAATGTATCTTTTTATTTTTCAGGTCTTTAAAGTTTAGATCTGAAATAATAAAACAAACTTTAATAAAACTTCAAATAATGAGTCATTTAATAGTATCTGAAGTACCAAAGCTCTAAAAAATAAAAACATCTACAACCAGATTTATAAATAATAAAATAAACCGGTCCTAAACCTCAATAATAATGAAAGTTATTACAAATAACTCCTATTGTGTGCTTAGGACTATTTTCTGTTTTTGCCTTAACATCAAAAGACAGATCGAGTAGAGTTTTTAACCTCAGTGTTGTAATAAGTCATGAGTTCCTGCAGTGTGACTGCGGATGGACAGCGGTTTACACGTTGTGTCCTCTCCAATGATCATCTCAATGTTTCTTTAACAGCAACCTCCGACAACATTACATCTGTGCCACTCAGTTGGGATAAAGTGAAGTAAGACATCACATACGAGACGATATCCACACACAAACACAACAATCAGTGCTTAAAGTCCAGTGTGTAGGATTTAGGGGTATCTAGCGCTGTAGTCGAAGATCTCGCCCCTATCAGCAGCCAGTGCTCGGGTGGTCTGTTCTGGGCTGACGCCGTGGTGATTAAACACTAATGCAAACATACTTATGAATATTATATTCCATTTTTGCCAATAGAGCCTCCTCAATGTTACACACTGGACCTTTAAATTATATAACAATGAAATATTAGAGTAATTCAAACTGCGTCTGGTCTTTTCAGCCCCCACTAAAGTGCCACCATGAGCACAGACGCAGAGATGGCGCAGTATGGGCCTGCGTCCATATACCTCCGCAAGCCCGAGAAGGAGAGGATTGAGGCTCAGAATACTCCTTTTGATGCCAAAACTGCCTTCTTTGTGGTGGATCCTGATGAAATGTACCTGAAGGGTAAACTCACCAAAAGAGAGGGCGGCAAAGCCACCGTGGAAACTCTCTCAGGAAAGGTGGGTCAAACAGGACCACGTCCATCACATTACATATGTTTTTTAAATTCTGCCCAATTAAAACTGGACTGTTTTTCTTTCAGACGATCACAGTCAAAGAGGAAGACATCCATCCCATGAATCCTCCAAAGTTTGACAAGATTGAGGACATGGCCATGATGACCCACCTCAACGAGCCCTGCGTGTTGTACAACCTCAAAGAGCGTTTTGCTTCATGGATGATCTACGTGAGTAATTCACTTAGACATACTGCAAGAAGTTTTTTACTGCTCATCAAACAGTCTCAGGTTAAAGGTCCAGTGTTGGACAAGTTGCAGCTCTTGGGTTTGCAGAAGTTTAAACCTTTCTTCTCTTTCCAGACTTACTCTGGTCTCTTCTGTGTCGTCGTAAACCCTTACAAGTGGCTTCCCGTGTATGATGCTGAGGTTGTTGTAGCATACAGAGGCAAGAAGAGAGTTGAGGCTCCACCCCACATCTTCTCCATCTCTGATAATGCTTATCAGTTCATGCTCACCGGTAAGATATTTCAAAGCAAGACACGGCAGATATGACCTGAAATGTGACTGTATTTGGTATTTTATGGACATATTTTTTCCTTTCAGATCGTGAGAACCAGTCTATCCTCATCACGTGAGTAATGTACAAATAACTGAATAACTTTATATGATACTGATATATGTGACTCCAGATATATCTCTCTCTTCCCTCAGTGGAGAATCCGGTGCAGGAAAGACTGTCAACACCAAGCGTGTCATCCAGTACTTTGCAACAATTGCAGTGGCTGGAGGCAGCAAGAAAACCGAGCAACAAGCTGGCAAAATCCAGGTAAAAATAGCTTTAATCAAACAAGACCAGGTTGAATTGTCTGTTTATGGATTCTTCACAATAGACAACAATGTCTTTCTCTAGGGTTCGCTGGAAGATCAAATCATTGCAGCCAACCCTCTGCTGGAGGCTTATGGTAATGCTAAGACTGTGAGGAATGACAATTCCTCCCGTTTCGTAAGTGTCGAAAGGGCCAAAAAATAAACATTTAAACTCTTTTTGAGCTGCTTATGAAGAATCCTGCTAACTTAAATCCAACATGTTTAGGGTAAATTCATCAGGATTCACTTCGGCACCAGTGGCAAGCTGGCCTCCGCTGATATTGAAACATGTGAGTACAAGACATCTGTTGCCACTGTATGATGTCATTTATGCAATATGCAGTAATCTGACCTCGACTTGTTAATCTTAGATCTGCTGGAGAAGTCCCGTGTGACCTTCCAGTTGTCCGCTGAGAGGAGCTACCATATCTTCTATCAGCTGATGACAGGACACAAGCCTGAGCTCCTGGGTATGTTACTACACGAGTCTGAAGTTTAAACAAAACCAGAGAATACACCAAACAACACTGTGTATTTCTACTGTGCTCCTGCAGAGGCTCTCCTGATCACCACCAACCCCTATGACTACCACATGATCAGTCAGGGTGAAATCACAGTCAAAAGCATTAATGATGTGGAGGAGTTCATTGCCACAGACGTAAGGCAGTAAACAGATCAGTTTATGTACAGCGTAAAATGTGTTACACACCGATAACTTTTTTCATTTATATTGCAGACTGCTATTGACATCTTGGGCTTCACTGCCGAGGAGAAATTGGGTATCTACAAGCTGACCGGAGCTGTGATGCATCACGGCAACATGAAATTCAAGCAGAAGCAGCGTGAGGAGCAGGCTGAACCTGACGGCACTGAGGGTAACTGGTACAATCATACTCATCATTGAAGTTATCTGGTGTGTGAAATACCACCAGCAACACTTTTATTACAGAAGAAAATTTCCCAAATATATTTTTTTTAATCAAATTATAGAATATGTTTTTTATTTCTGAGGTAGCGAATAAACTGGGCATATTTTCTTTTCTTTGTTAAAGTGAAATTTCATGTGTGAAGCGAGTGAAGTAGGATGTCAAAGAAGCAAAGTCAAAAGTAGATAGCGCCCTCACAATTAATTTGACCAAATTTGAATCGTCACATATTTATTGTTACATTCCTACTACTCAAGTCACAAGTACTTTCCTTCTCTAAATACCTTCAATTCTGTTTATTTAACATGGCATAACACAGAAATGATTGTTCAAACAGATCTGTTCAATAACAACCTGAGTTGTGTCCACCGTTGAATAGGCTACTTTAA